TTCGCTGCTAAACAACAAGTTAAGGGCAGCACCATAACCGTCCGATCGTGGCGATGAGAAATGACCAACCGATAGCCCGCCATTTTGTTTACATCCGTGGGCGGAGACTCCGAAGATGTTTTAGTCCGAAAAAGCCATGTGACTGATCAGATACCAATCATATTTCAGAATTTGATATGACGAAGGGGGCGAGAAATTTTCGGAAACTTTCCGACGTTCCTCCAAAATATTCGTAATTCAACTTCCGCATAAGACGAGGAGAGTCAGAGGAAGTAATGTATGTCTGTGGTTTCGTCTCAGACGGCAGAAATCGTGCACAAATGCAATTTCAAAATGTCAGATTCATGACGTCCATGAGCGAGCAGACAAATAAATCACTACGTCCATTTTGGGGTATTTTTGCAGGGAAACACACATCTGTGGCATTTTAATATCACCATCAGGACCTCGTACCCATGACGGCAATAGCAAAATTTCATCTTAGTAAACATTTATACCTTCGTCATTTTTATTCGTCATTCTAATATATCTGAAACAAAAACACCCGTTGTTTAAAGAGCCAATAAGCCGCTGGTTGGCACAATCATATCAACAGGTGATAAAAGGAAAAAAATCTTTGGCACCCGATGAATTCCTGTTTTCTATTTTCACAAGAGACCTAATCTATAAAACAACGACATATTTTGTCTTCAAAGAGCTTGTGTACAGGAAGGAGGATTCACTTCTACGTAAATCCTGTGTGGTGTGGCGGGGACCATCCTAGGAGACTGCCTATGCCAAGTTTCCTTCAACAGTTATTGTAGTCTAAGAACTTATTTTCTGACATTCTTTCTTGTGGTCTGGCCTTTTTTTCCAGGCCTTGGGCCTATTTCTCAAACCGGCCAGCTGTTGTTAATATTCGATATTGAGGTTTATATTATTTTGCAGATCACTTTAAAGATAGGACTATCAGTTAAGAAAACAAAATGAATTAGTTTGTTAGCTAGAATCCAAGCTTTATCTTTAGATTTTGATGTGAAATTTAAGCTAATCGGAGAAACAGGTACCTGGACCCAACAGCATGTGACTGTGTTAAATTTCAAGCAGACATACGGTATTTGTTATTTATTTTTAAATATAATTTAGTATAGTATTATTCTATCTTATATTACTATTGTATTTTATCGTGTATCTTTTAATACTTTTTTACTGTAACTTAGGATGTGTATTTTTATCCTTTGATTGAATAAAGACTATTATTATTATTATCATTATTATTGTATTCAAATATATGGGTGCAGCTGGAGACACCTAACGAGATGGGAGCCGATGCTTTCCAGGCTGACATACTTTCAATTTTGGCCACTCAAGTAGCTTTGCTCACAGTTTTTTTTAGTCTTGAAATCGTAGACTACCAGCAGACTCTTTTTTTTCTAAGTCCGTCTAGCGAAATGCACGAGACACGAAAATACAGCTGAAAATAGGAAGCTTAAGCAACCACGACGACCACCACAACGACGACTTCAAAAAAACAACAAGTTTATGATCAAAACAACAGCTCTGTACGTGCATCACGCTTTTTAGTACATTTTTTTGACGTCCACTGCACGACTACGACGTGAAACCTCCGAATTTGACGTTTAAAGGTGATGTTACACGGGACGATTTACATTTTCTCGCTAAAAAGTCATTTCTTCTTTGCCTCCATTTTCCCATTTGTTATTATCTATTATTAAACTACCAATAAATGCATTTTCTCGCTAAAAAGTCATTTCTTTTTTGCCCATTTTTCCATTTATTAGTATTATCATTGTAATATTTTAAAAATGTTTCGTTAACTTTCACTGTTAAAGTTCTCTGCTAAAAATATTTTTACTATTACGATAAAGTTTTTAAAATACTTTGCAAACATCTGATGACCCATTCGCAACGACGATTTTTAGCGCAACACACCGTTGCAATGTTGGAACAATGTTGCAAGCATTTAAAACAATGTCGCAACAATGTTGCAACGCTGTGTTATGCTAAAAATCGTCGTTGCGAATCGTCTCGTGTAACGTCACCTTTATGGAGGACGTGGACATACTACGACGAACTTCTCTTCATCTTTTTGAGCCTGAATAAAATCCTTAAGAATTCAACTCCAGGAAAAGTCGCCTGCATTTGACATATTGAGCGGATCCAAATAGACGCGATTAAGTTTGAAAGAACGCAAATTCATTTTTTTATCGTCGTTTTCACTGCCGCCGTTGTCGTCCTTGCTTAAGGTCCCTAATGACCACGTGTGTGGCTGAAGGCCTGGAAGGCGCGAGACAGGAGATGTTGGTGCACTTGTTTTGCGCATCTTTTGTTGCCCACGCGCACGCGGGCGCTCCCCTCATTATATCTGAAGAAAAGGAGAGACTGCTTGCAGTCTTTGAAAGCATGAAGGAAAAAAATCTGAGTATGAACGTGATAAGCAATAACAACAGCACATAAAACTGTCACATGACAACTTTTACTTTTACTTTTAATAATGCTTTCAATTTTCTTTGTTTCTTAAATATTACGACACCAAGGAAATTGAGAATCAAACTATGTTGAAACCATTTTTACCTGATGAGTTTCATTGTGTCAAGAACTACAGCATGAATATATAATAATACGTTATTCTTTTGGTATTTCCCTTCATTTTTACACATGCCTGCAGATATTTGACAATACCTACATCCTAAAAAAATGCAGCCTGGAAGAAAGTGTATTGTTCTGGTACTAAAAAAGACAACCATAATGTATTCGTTTCAAAGAATGATTGTGCAAAAAATGGAAGATTTGAAGAATTACCTATTGTTGTTTCTAAAGCACTGCTCAGATTTAAGCATTGTGCTTTTTTTGTATTGTCAAATGTTTAAAATCCAAGTATGTGAGATTAACTCATTCTTAATGAGGCTGAATTGAAACAATCAAGAAGAATAGCAAAAATGTACATGGACTAGTATTTCACTTAACAAAAACTTTGTAGACGTATTTTATTTTTTTACATAAAAGAAGTGAAAATGAGTTGATATATTATTATATTTTTTTATTATTATTAGTGATGTCATTAAAAATCAAATTAGGTGCGGTGCATGGAATTTAAAAGCTCCAATAGCTTATAAAAGGGTTTAGATAAGCAGCAACTTGGGGCCTTTATTGTTTTTGCTATGCCTTCACTCTTAATGGAAAATGATTTGGTTTCATTATTCTATTACTCCAAAAATACTCCTAAAGTCTAGCACGATTTAGAAGGAAACTATGTGGAGTACAATACTGTTTCACAAGATCACAGTGGTTTTACAGAAACTTATGACTTTAATCCAAATCCAGATCGCTATCACTGTCATCTTCCTTTTTAGGCTCTACTGTTGTTGTTAGCTGGCATTCTAATTCCTCCGTTAAAATGCCATTTCTAGAAGGAATAAAAGTTAAATATCAATGTCAGCTGAGGTAAACAAAAACAACCTAAATCAGCTTATAGGAAAATAACATCTAAGAGAAGTTGCCTTAAGAACAGCAGGACCTTAACAGAGGAATGCAAGGAAATTATAAAGCCCTATGTGATGTAGCCCGTTATCCCACACATATAAATGTTCAATACTTGTTTAATGTAGTGCTAAGGAAGCAGACAAAATAAGTCCTGTAAGAAGAGAGATTTCTATGTGAAGAATTGACACCAGATAAATAAAAATTAAGCACTCCCCTAAAAAAAGGGGATCCCGTTGGAAAGGTTATTTCCAACGTGCAGTTCAAGAAACCATCCTTGCCTACCCAATGGAAGGTCAATGCTGGAAATTCCAAGCAAGAGGAGGGCTTGTAAGGCCAGAATTTTAAAAGCAAAGTATCAGCCTAAATAGCCTGCAAAAACAGCCGTCAATCTCTTCTTGCCCTTTGCTACTTGGGACTTATGTGCAAGGAGGGCTCAGTGCACCATGTTGGTGATCACAGCTGTAACAAAATAGATCAAATTTTGCCATCATGCATAAGAAGCCGATAAATGTGCATTGAGCCTGAACTCCATTGATTGTGCATAGAAAGTTACTTCATGATGCCTTTATCGAACGTTAAGTCTGCTTTCATCAAGCTTTTTTCAAACAATTATCCATATATCATTGTGCCTCTCCCTTCATGCTTAAATGAGTTATAATGGTTAAATGGTGCCTTCATCGTGCTTAAAAGGAGCCTTCACTGTGTTTAAATGGTGCCTCAAGGACAAAGGCACGATGCACAAGTGACGAAGAATAATCAAGCCTCGATGCACAATAATGGATTGTGCACTCTGGCAATTTGGTGCATTGAAAATTTTGTCTAACACTAAAAAGGTGTTTTTTATTCAATAACCACAAAAATTCATCGATAAATTTTAAACTTAGAAGAAACTTTGGTATATGTGCATCTCTAGAAGCCTTGTTTATTCTGGTCAATACAGTTTTATTGTAGAGGTGAATGAGATCAAAACTTTATAATTTTTAGTGAAAAGTAGGGCAAAATGGCACCTTTTAACTACACTACATTTCGTGGACAAAAAATTTATTTCATTAAATATTTAAAGCTTTATGCAGAGAGAATGTACACAATGTCATGCACATTGACTGCAGAGCATTCATGCAGAAAATAAAGTTTTTATACACAAGTTGAGAGTAACTGTAACAGTTAATGTAGATCAATGTAGCATTAGACCATTTTTTACAAAAATGTGGTCACCAACATCATGTGCATGGCCTGAGAGACTGCTGTTTTTGTAGGCTACAACTTGAACAGAAATTTCAAGAGGGTTTGGTTGGGGGTGGGGCCGCGTCAAACTAATTAATTCTCCGTGGGGGGATGGATCTTTTCTGAAGCAAGATTCTCAAACTTCAAACGATTGTCTTAGTAGTTAGTGGCTAACTGATATTACAGCTGGGCTGTAGGCAAACAAGGATGTCTATAAAGGAATGCGAAACAAGACCAAGAAACACTCCTTTTGACTTAGGGGAACTGAGCCACCTAACATAGGAGAACTAAACTACCTGCCATTGTAAACATGAAAAAAATATTTAGTCAAGAGATTAAACAAAAAAAAATACGACCTAAGTCAAAAGGAGTGTTTCTTGGTCTCATTTCGCTTGCCTGTGCTCATGTGGTACTGTTCAGTGTTTCTTCAATCTCTCGTATTAAGTGATTTAGGGATTGCAGTGACCGCAACGCCAACAAGTAGTTACTAGCTATGGTGCTGCCATGCCAACACTCTTCAGCTAAATTTGAATTGGGGTATACTTACTCAATTAAATAGCTTTCTACATCAACAGCATAAAAATCTTCACCAAATGTGTCTTCAAGTTTGACAAAGTTTCCGACCATTTGTCCACCTTTGTAAACAAGTAAAGCAGGAAGGCCCTCTTTTCTCTGACACCAAAGAGAAAATAAACAAAATAAAGAGACAGAAAAATTAGCACTGTTAAGAATATATAAACATTGTCTAGATGTTATGGTTTTAACCTTGCTTGGAGGAGGAGTGGTGGCTGAGCAGATAACAGGTTTAAAGCCTTACCATTGTGTTGTTTCCTTAGACAAAAAAATTTATTCCACTAAAGGGGAAGTTACACATGTCTGAAAATAAGAGTTCCTTATACTGATATTAAACTACTTATCAAGTAGTGAGTATCGATCATTACGTGCAGGTGGATGACAGAAGATCAGACAAAGAAAGAGTTGTGTTCGGCATGCCACAAGGCTCTATATTGGGCCCTCTGTACATAGTAGACTGATAAAGCTCTTGATGAGTTCCTGTTGGTTTAGAGTTGTTACTGTGATTACTGAACTTACAAAATGTCTGCTGATTCCAGTATCATCAGCAAAAATCCTACAGAATTTTACCTAAAATAACAATATAGCAAACATATGCATGTTAGTTGTGAAAATCAACCACAGTAGTTTTCTTTTTCCAATAAAGTCAGAAGAAGGGTGCAGTTGTTCAGAAACACAAAATTATAACCACATCATTTCCAGTGCAGCTTGCTTTTGGGTGAAATAAACCCACATCAGAAGGCTCCATTACTTGAGTAGGCACACAGAGCATTGTGTTTTTTTAAAAAATATAGAAAGGGGGATTCCCATAGGATGCAGATCCATGAACAAAAAATGTCATCTGCAAAAAGAAGATACCCACTTAAGGACGTTTCCTATGACATGCAACTTTCCTTTAAACAAATAATAAGTTCATATTTTAGAGGAATCCCCATTTTAAGGGGATTCCCCTTTGCTGTTTTTGCAATCAACTGGTGCCTTAACTCAGCTCAAGATATAAAAGAAAGTATGTACATTATTACTTCAAGTCCAGCGAACAAGAGTGGTAATAAACAGATCCTGTCACAGCTGTGAAACACCATAAACCTAACATTAGGGCCATTTATACAAGAAAAATAAGACACGTCTTACATGGGACGCGTCTTAAATAAGACGCGAGCTTTCTGTATAAACAGCACATTTCGTCTAAAATAAGACGCGGCTAAGCTAAGACGAAGCTAAGACGAGAAAAACTGCGTATAAATGACCTTCGCGTCTTACATAAGATGCAAACGCATAGTACACATGCGTTAATTTTTGGCGCGCCACGTTGGATTGCTGTTGCTACTGGCAACATTCACATGAAAACGAGTCAAGAACAGAAATAAGACGCAAACCATTTATACGAGCTGTTCTCGTCTTAGATAAGACACGCTCGTATAAATGGTACAGTTCGCGTCTTATTTAAGACACGTCTTATGTAAGACGCGTCTTATTTTTCCTCGTATATTGTACAGTGGATTTGACAATATACAACTACTGATGAAAGGCATGATTACTTACCAGCGAGTATTGTTGAGCTAAGCACTGTAGACAGCCATTCATTGCTCTGCAGCTTTGAACATCATCGCTATAAAGATGGATCACTACCACAATATTGGGGTCTTCTTTATCCACGGCATCTAGAAACTGCTGTTTGCCTTGTAATGGTAGTACTTGTCCAAATTTAGGTCTGAAAAGAAAGGCATAAGAGTTTGCTGGAGAAGTTCATTTCTTTTGTGTATGTCCAAAGAAATAATTTTTTGAAATTCACCACTGTGACTCAACATGGTGACAGGGGATGAAACAGGACTAACGTCCCAATTTATATTACCCCTTCATTACCCACCCAGCCCATGAAAATTTGTACCACACCACTGGCCAGGGACAACATCCCCTATTCTTTAGAAACAGTAGCGTGGGCTCTGTTATGTCCCACAAGAATCAGAACAGTGAAAGAGGTGTGACATGAGGCCTATGGTTTTTCGTCCTTATCCGAGAAGACTAGAATGTCTAAAGGCAGCACATTCTCAGTCCGTTATTTCAAGACCCTGAGTGTTGGTCCGGCCAGGGTTTGAACCTCCCACCTGGCAGACCAGCGCTTATCCAACCAAGGTAACCGGATGGCGGTTTGTTCAATCAAGCTGTCTAACAACTCAATGATGAAAAATAATTTTTAGCTTGCTCAGTTACAGATTAAATGAAAAACCTGGAAAGTTTTAGTCTCCGTTCCTGCTCTTGTTTTAGTTGTAATAGTCTCTGAAGATGATATTGTTGAATAAACTCATCTGTGTCAAGCTCCAGCTCTTTCAAAAGTTCTTTTTCCCTTTGGTCATCCAGCTATATTTCAAAAATGAGAACAAACAAACAAAAAAAAAAGGTCACAGGTGGATGAAGAAAGAAAAGGTCCAGAAGGACAGCCTCCGGGAAACACAGCTGACATTATTTGTTTATTTGTGTGGCTCATGAAGGTAACTAAGGTAATGAAGCTATCAATCCCATTTTCATTGTTTCACAAAAACGTATAAGAATAAACAATCTGAAGACCACAAATAAGTGCAAAAACTGATGTTTTGAGCAATAATAATATTTCTAATTTTATTATTGTCATCATAATCTAAACCAGGTTTAGGTTATTGTGGCTTTTCCCTTTCTTCCTTTTCTTTCCTTTTTTTATTTTCTGGAAAACAGAAGTATTTTGTTGAATTATAAATAATAAAAACTAACCAACTTACACTACTCTGGCAAGAAACTGAAAACTTTTCAGCCAACTTTTTCATTTCCTTTTCTTTCTCTTTCCTCTGTTCAGTTTCCAGCTGTTTATAGCGACGATAATCCTGAATGACACCTTTGGGTCCTGTCTGCAAAAAAAATTCAAAAACAATAAAACCTTAATTTTCTTTATAAAAAAACCTTCTGTAACTATCTCTCCCCCCCAACAAATTATTGTCCCTTCATAACCCAGAGTGAGCAAGCCCTTTGAACACATGTCAGGCCCATTTATTTTAGAATGAGTTGGTAAAAAATTTAGACTATTGCTTAAGCATAAGCTTAAAACTAATCAGCAAAAATCACAGTACAGAAAATGGTACATTGGGCATTTTCATGAAATTATTATTATTATCATTTTTTGGGTTTTACATATTAACCTACTGGTATTGATGTGCACACATATGGAACAGATAACTTCCACTTTTAAGGAAAAAAGTACTCAAATTGTGTTGACTGCTAGCTGTGAAAACACCATGAGGTAGACAGTGCTAGTGCAGGGGTTGCTGGACTCCTCTGACTGATGATTGGACCCAGATTTACTTTTATAAAATACGCCATCTCTCCTGGATTATCATGGAGCCTCCTGGATACAGCACTGATTTCCTGCTCTCCCGTATGGGTCACCAAATCTCCTGGATAAAATGGACCCCTGAGCTTTTCTGTGCTTTAGTTTGAAATTTGGCCCATTTTTTCTCAAAATTCAAACTTTTTATTCATTTTACAGTTTCCAGAACATTTTTGCACGTATTTAGAAAGCGACAAAGATTATTTCATCATTACAATGATGAAAGCAAATTTTGATAGCATGTACTTCATTTACGACTTCACATAATGGCCTAAGCCAAGGTGGCTGGGTCAACTTGTGGGCGGGGAAGGGGGGTTGGGGGTCTGTGGGGCTGTTGATATTCGCAGGGAAGAGGGGAAGTGCAAAATAGAAAGTCTCCAGATTTAAGATTTCCTGAGGTTGGCTTGGTCTCTGCTTTTGACCTGTGGTAAATTCCAGGGTAAAGATAGGGGCAGTGCTCTCAACCCTCCCGGATAATCTGGGAGACTCCAGATTTTGGACTCTATCGCCAGGTCTCCAGATTAGAGTGTGAAAACTTTTCGACAATACTTAGAGTTTCAGCTATTTTGCATTGTTTGAGGTACTTTAATGTTAACATGATCATCAAACATTTTCACATAAACTTTGGTATGCCATTGTAACTTTATAATAATATGATTGATGGGAAGTAACAAATACCTTTTTCGCGAGTTTTGAGCCATCGTAATTTTGTGGCGATCTGAGTCAACGAGTATTTTTTTGACAAGTGGCGTCATGTGTCCTGCACGATGACGTCATCTATTGTCCCTCCCTTAGTTCCCTATCGATATATTGATTCTCAATATTTAAAGACGGGGGGGGGGGGTTGACAGCCCTGGGGGAGGGGTACTAAAGGGTGGGGGGGGATGATAACACATTATAGTTTTTCAGCATTGAAGAATGAACTGTTAAAGACAGCAATCAACTTGTCATGACAAGGTTACAGGAAGGTTACTGAAATGTTTTTAGCAAGATCTTGGTACGCCGTAAATATACCAGATATGACCTTTTTAAAGACATCATGAACATCAGAAAAAAGGAGATATCACTTAATCAATGAAATCAAAGATTTGTAGCCTCACCTTGGGCACTTCAAGGCGAAAATCTGGCGGTGCAGCAATGCCACCAATGTCTATAACATCGTCTCTATTGTCTTCTTCAGAAATATTTCTATCACCCTCTTCTCCTTCACTCTCAGAACTCGACACGTAGTTCTGGCTCTTGAAACCAAGAAGTTTATCGTCCAAAGTGGTCATATTTTACCAGCAATTTAGAAGAAAATACAATTGAAAGATGAAGGCAAATCGAATCAATCGAATTGTCACACTAGACTGAAACAACGATTCCATCCGCTGACCGTTGCTTCCTTTCCCCACTCCCCTGGCGAACAGAAAGTCGGGTCACGCTTTTCCCAAAGGACGTATTTGTCATTTCAAGAACGCTTTATCAAAGGCGTATTCAATTAATTAACGTGTTTCAAATTCTTTAATTCTCGAGTGACCGCAGTACAGCACGTTGTTGACGTTGTTATTCAATTTCACGCTCACAAATTATTCTTTTACACCTAAGAAAAACTTTGTACAGTGTCTTTTCAACTCCAAATGCCAACTTTAAAAAGTCTACAAAACAACAAATTGTTAATTTTCTATGTGTAATAAACAGATTCCGTATGTAATCTTCGAAATGACCTGAGCTTTGCATGAGAATAACAACATGCAAATGTTTTAGTGATATTTTTAGCACTTGTTGTGTAAGATAATAACTTTAATATTCGCCATGTGAAAAAAATAACTTCGGTTAAATACCTAAGTCAAGTTTTTATCTGTCAACAAGGCCAAGAATTAAATTTATGAAAATAATTACACATTTTTTAATTTTCTTTTTTACCTTAGAATTTTTCCCCTTCTTAGATTATATCAACAGAATTAAACTCAAAATATTCCCATTCATTTAACCTTGACTTTTATAAACCACAACTTACCAACAACGTTTTAAACTTCTGAAAATATCTAAAAACAATTTCAATTAGAAGATACATCTAAAGAATTAAAACCTGATCGCTTAAGAATTGAATTGACTTCATAATACAACACGAGAACTGAATGGACTTCATACCAAAAATTAATGAGCCATAATGCACAAGACAATTTCACTTGTTGTGTCAGTGCCATTTCTAACGGGTAAAAGAAGCAGTATTTTCAACTATACGCAGTAAATATTAAAAGGATTCAAACAACTAATCCAAAGTATGATTAAAATAAGATAAGGATAACTCTAATCCACAAAATCCGAGGTAAAATCTAATTGATCTGTTAAACCATGTAGGATTTATCAATTTGTTTTAATCAAGGAAATCTAATGAATAGGAAGCTCTTTCACACTTTGAAGTCCAGGGGCGTAGCTACCTGTACGCAAATACGCAATTGCGTACCTGAAAATAATAATAAAAAATAATAAATAAATATATAAAATAAAAAAATAAATAAAAAATATATTTCAAATATATTTATATTTATATATATTTTTTATTTTTTTTTTCAGTCATTTAACTTAGCCTTTTCTTTTACTTATTTTTGTACCTGAACTATAAAATTGTTTTTCCACATCCAAATGTCGGTTTCTTCAGAGAATCGATGTGATTTCGTCGGTCAGCGGTGGAGTGAATTCNTTCTTGCAATGCACAGCATATAAATACCAACTCATTATCTGATTATCAAGATCATATTCCACAAAATTAGACATTTTTCATATTCCAGATCACAGGATAAATGCCGATAACACCGTGAAATAAAACGCTTTCTTCAGTGTTCTTAGCTAAATTCTTCAAAGGATTCTCTTTTCTTATCTGTTACAAATTCACACAAACGCTTAATCCCTTAACTACGAACAAACTACCTACGTCAACTAGCCTGGCAAATGTGAATTTTTTAAAAACTCCATTTCTGTGGCACTTTGATTACCTTATTTCGCGATCTGACCAAACGTAAACAACAATAAACATTATTTTTGGTTTATGCTAATGGCGTGCTTAAGAAATCCTATTTAAGATCCTTGATCATGATTACAGGAAGAAAAAAATTTCTATTGTTACAAATGGTTTCCTGTAACAGAATTTAACACCAGAGTATGTGTCACTGTATTTTTTTTTCTTCAGCGTATTTTGAAATCAAAAACAAACTTGCATTGGAGATTTGATACTTTGAATAGTCCTTAACTGATCAAGATGCTGGAAATCTAGAATATTTAAATTGTGGCTAATATTGTAATTTTAACATAAATAATTTAGCTATGTTTTATTTTCCTCCGTTTCTACGTCTGTAAATGGAACCCTACAGTGACAATATAGTAATTACTACCAAGGGGACTTTGCAAATTTAAATACAAAAAATGTAGGACACTTTAACTTAAGATTTAAACTTTTTTGACCAAAAGTAGATGGGCAATGCCCTAGAACTTTTAAAATAATTTTATTAATGCATCAGCCTTCGCCCACAAATCATATGTTAAAATCGTATGTAAAAATTACATTTTAAAATATACAAAGAAATTATTTGCTGTATTTCAATAACAACAGGGTTGTCTGTAAACAAAGACAAAATTGATCACAAATAAGATTTGTATCTTGTTTCCTGCACCAAGAGAAAATCTGTTTAATAAACTATAATCATACTCCCAGACAGTCAATTTTCTTCACCCATAAAAACGAAAAATTAGGCACAAAATGATCCATTAAAACCAAACTCACCCACATTAACAATATTCAACTTTATTTGCAAAAATATGTTTTCTTTGAATTAAAAATTACTTCTTTAAACCTACATTCGCTCAAAATTTCATAACTTACACAAAAATAAATTACATTCATTTAGTGTTTACTGGAAAGTATATAAAAGCAACAGCAGTCATGCAGCTGTAATAAAACATTGTACAATGTAAAAACTTCATGCTGTTAGTTACTGTAAGAAAGTTAATTGGTTTATCTACAAAAGAAGGGTTCTTTATTTATTTTCCTGTTTTTGCACCAATGTTTCAAAGTTGCTACCACAGGTCGTAAAATATTAACACTGTCTTAATCTTAGCATTTCCTGCAATAAAAAATTATCATTTTCTTTTGTTGCAATAAAAGTAGCCTCTGCCAGAGCATTTTTTCTTGCATCAACCTTTGACTACAAGAAATGTTTCCAAAAAAAACCTCTTGTAATCAAGGCTACTGCTAAGAAATCCAGCTTTGGAACAACTTACTTTAAATATAAAAGCTCTCTTTATGGACAGCTGTCTGTCATGGGCAGCTCACCTGACCAAAATGATACAAAATTTCAGACAATTTCTACCTCAATAAGACAAACACTTTTGTAGTGGAGACACTTAACTTCCATATTACAGAGGATAAACTTTACAGTGAATACATAACTATCACATCAAGGCCTTGTCCCAGGCATACCAAAGAAATATTGCCACAATAAAACCTGAATTAAGCAAGAATCAAGGGGACCTTGTTACTGTCAGCTACAATGAGCTGTCAAGAGGAAAAGTTTAGATTTTTAAAATGGCATGTATTAGCCTAACAGAGGGCATCTGCTTTGTATGGAGTCCACTTAATACAGGTTTTACTGTCATTCAATTTATCCAGACTCTTATAACCCACGCCAAATGTAGCGGTAAGGGTGTTCAACAAAGAGAGAAATGAATATTATTGTTATTATTTACCAATAATGCCCACCCTTCGAAGCTGAAGATTGATGGCATGAATATACACAGCATATAAATTTTTTTCTCAATTAAATACCCACATGCATGATTTGCTCTACCTCAACTTTCCCTATATGATAGGTATTATGAGTGACCCATGAGAAGTCAAGGAAGTTACTTTGGTACAAAAATAATCCGGCCATACACGTGTTTGTAAATGAAGTATCAAGCTCTTATTAATTGGTAAAAATGCACCCCCTGCCCTGCCCAACTCTGGAGGGTAGGTTAATACTAAAACTTTGTCTTTCATTGCATATGTTACACTACTGTAAACACACCAAAACCTATTTTTGTGCAACTATACAAAGTCACAGAATGCAAGAGAAAATGTGAATAAATATCTTTGGTGCGCAAGTTCCTCAGTCGCACAAGTCAAAGAAAGCTGGTGCTGAACTAAAATTTAAAAAAAAAATGCAATGCTGGAATACAAAATACCACTCCATAGCAAACCAATGATATAGCAAAAAAGTTCTAATTCAGTATCTTAAGGACAATAATTATTATCCTTACTCTCTGGGCTTTAATCTCAGTGATCTGTCATACAAGTCCTCTTCTGACAAGAAATTGTCCATTCTGGCAAACAACTGCGCAATTTGATCATTCCACTCAAAGTCATAAGAATTGAGTTTAAATCGGCGAACATTGTCCATAATATTAAACAACTGCCACCTCTTCACAAAATTGACCTTGCCGTCAGGAAGCTCATCTGCATTGCCATGGTAAACAAAAGTGACGTCTTGAAGAATAAGCCCAAGATAAGGAATGCAAGGTGGTTCTGCAAGAGCCAGGGCCTCACGGTAAGCTCTGAATGATGACGTGCTGTCAATCAATGTCGCATACTCAGCTAAGCCATCTGTCAAATGCTTTGGCCAGTTCAATCGTCTGACTGCAGAACAGTCCAAAGCAGAGAGGATTCCAAAGAAAGAATTAAAGTCATTGAACCTTCGTAGGTGCTTCATGATCTTTAGGAACTTCAAGTAAGCCATTTCTCGATCTCGCGGTTTCTCAAAAGACAGAACATGAGTTCGGCACCAATAGGAAACTTTGTTGAAATGTTCAGTGAAAATGCATAGGTTTGGAGAATGTTCTTCCTTCTGTTCTTTACCCCAAGCAAGTATTTCAGGAATCTCTATGTTGTGGAAGTTCTTTGCATCCATCAAAGTAAGCTGTTTGGCCAGCTCCTCAGCATGGAAGTCAAGGACAGAGTAGTTCTGAGATGGATCTGGAATGACAGGGTGAATGATTGAAGAAGGGCTACGAGATCTGTAGTAATGTTCACATTTAGGCAGCATCTTTTCACGCAGAATCTTTCCGAGAACAATGTGTCCATTCACAAGAAGGCGAAAGATTTCTTTCATTAGCTGTTCTAAAATGGTTCTCTCAACTTTTCCTGTGAGCTCGTCGACAACCCTCAAAAGCAAGAAGAAAGCATTTTGGCTAGCTTTCTTACAGCCTTTTTCTCGAAACCTTCTTTCCCTGTACAGAAGTTTGTTAATCAGATCCTTTGGAGAGATGAATGTTCTGTATGTGGTAAGAAAAGCTTCATAATAAACCAAGTCTCTCTTGGTGGAGCCACTGGCATGGACTATCAAGGCATCTATTGCTCCACCGATAAGTGTTGTACCATCATCATCATCACGGTAAACAAGAAATCTAGAAACATCCAAGCAGTCAAGCGCTGGAGTATTGTGATCTTCATCTTCTGTACCACTTAAACTACTTGAACTGCTGCTTGTGTTACTCTGTTTACGTTTTCGCTCCTCTTCAAGTGGGAGCAGCTTCTTCCTGGTCATTTCTGTCTGTATGTTCCTATTCAAGTCTTGGGTGAAATTTGGAGGCACTTTAGTTGGACTTTGAAGTATTGGCAATGAATGAGATCGCTCAGTATCAGCAACATTTCGGAAAGTAAAAATGTCTTTCTTTAGTCCAGTCGGAGTGTGGTGATTTGGAGAATTATTTTGTGTAATGCTCTTCCTGAAAGTTTCTTGATAGCCTTCATATGCTGATGATGGCCGCTTAAGAATGCCGTCAGAAGGCTGGGTGTAATTTCCAACAAGTTCAATGTAAACTTGGAATGCCTTCCTCTTAGGTGTGGATATTTCATGGTTTTCAATATATCCTAGAAATGAGGCTTGAATAATGGGACTGTCTGGTTCTTCAAAAGGTGTCATATGATCACCTTCATCTGCAGAGAAAAAAGATCCTTCCTCTCCAGTGGAGCTGGAAGCAGAAAGGTAAGCATGCCCAGTGAATTCATCATTGAAGCTAACAGGGGACTGAGGAAGAGAGCGATAGCTGGATGAATCACTTGCTTGACTGAGTGACCAGTCAGAGTCTTTAGCTCTATTGATTTGGTTTTGGTAACTTGCCGTACGTCTGTAAGAGTGACGTCCCCTCACTGGTGGTTCTGGAGGGCTTAAATAGCCATTATGATGATGTGAGTCAGAATCAATGATGTAGTTGATGGAACCACGACCCGAGTCTCGTGAAGTAGTGGGTGATGGCCTGTTAGAAGAGGAATCCATTCCACTGAGGCTTCCCTCGCTAATACCTGAATCTCTTTTGTTGGAGGACCATTGGCCATTACTGCTTTCAGAATTTACATCTTCGCCAACTTGGATACTTTCACTACTGCCTTCAAACATGAAAATTGAATTTCTGATTTCATCGTTTACCTCTCGCTTTCGAAGTCGTGGAATAACAAGATCCACAAATTCTTTCATACTCTGTTCGAGCGCTTTGACAAAATCGACGCCCTCTTCGAGATTTCCCTTCACGTTGCCCCGCACTAAAAGCTGATCTGTCCAACGGACAAGTTCCGCGATGCGCTCGTGAACGAGCTTTCTGTGCGGGATCAGATCTGTGTTGTTGGAATGCAAACGAAGACATGTATCTAACATATTATCAATGTTAATCACTGACTCCAGGACGATCGAAGTATTATCAGGGATCTTTGCCATCACGATCTCCATGTTGCTTTTGAACTTGTCCACAACAAGAATAAAATATTGAACTGCACTGCGGAGCTCTTTGTAATATTGCTCAAAGGTCTCCAAATCGCGTGTTTGCGATGAGGTTTTGGCCGGCTTCGCCGGTGCATCGGTTTCGTTTCTTTCTTGTTCATTGTTTGAATCATTGCTTTTTCTCCTCCCATGGTTAAAAGATTGCCTTCTCAGAATCTTCAAAAATTTCGGCTTTCGATTAGCCTGCGAAGCCGAGGTCGAGGGTGATGATTGTGGAGAGACTGTCGAGTTCCTCGACTCCCGCAAGCTCATGATTCGTTTAATCGGGGAAGCCATTGTTTTCAACTGCAGCAAGTCATAATACTCAATTAATATCGCGGGTTTTCTGCTCACTTTCTTCAAGAGAAGTTACACAACAAAGCAATCCAAAAGCACATCAAACATGTGCAAGGAATCCAAAACGTGAAATGTACACCACAATTCTTGCGTTCCAAAGAAACTTCTGATCCAAAGCGCAAATATTTCTGAGCAGACGTCGTTACCGCGAGAATAATTACGAAACAGTTCTTCGCTGCAGTTTACAGCTTAAGCATATAAACAGCTTCAGTTAAAAGAATCACTTCCAACATGTCACCAAACAACAGAAGGTTCCTTGGTTCGTGATTGAAGCGAGCAACAAAGAATTCCGTCCGCGTGCTAAATTGGGCTTAAATTTCAGAGTCGAATTTCGCAAACACTCCGTCTCGGTATTTGATTTTCAACTTGATTGCTGTCACGTCGTGGAAATAAGGTAGCCTCGTCAATTAGTAGCGTGATAAAGATCTCGGTAAAACACTATTTGCTAACCTGTCCAGAGTGGAGACAACCGATGCCCTGATTTTTTTGGCGTTCTGTCGTATGAGAAGCGCCGGTTAGTGAATTAGTCGCAAGGAAAGGAACAAGTAGTGGTTTTACGCACCGCTCCTGTTAAACGTAGTCGTGCACGAGACCCGCTGACCTTTGAAATAGAATGGCTAGTGCGGCTTCCGATTGGTCGGTTTTGGCAGCCACACTCGAACTACTTGTCTAATCAAGGCTATAATAAACCACATATCTTTGGACATTTGGAATACGCCAAATGGTATATTGCTAAGTATGGTAATGGTTTGATATCTGACAGTCACATTTAGTATAAGCACCATTTGAAATGTTCCATATTCAGTACTATAAGAAGACGAATTTTTTAAAAGTTGCGTATTTTGCTTCAGTAATTCTGTTAACAACTTTCCGGATGTGACATCACTTGATAAACCTCGCCTTTTCGCGAAGCTGCTTTTTGACGAAATGACTCTTCCTTTTCATAAAAAAAACATTGTACTTTACAGCTGTCACGGATAACTTTTTAACCTTGCAAGGGTGAAGCAATGCAAATAATATCTAAAAATAACAGTGATATTTGCCCCGCAATAACAGTTTTAATTCATTAGGACTTATTATGGCGATATATGTGTACACTGTTCTGTACCCCAGCAGTAACTTCATAACTCGGTTGACCGCAGGTAAATACCATTTTTAGAAGACACGAATAATTCATCACGTTGTCATTGCAAAATAAGGATTAGAAATTAGATCAACTGTGCTTGGGGGCTTATAAGGATGGGTAAACCATCCGATCATAACATGACATTATTTTCCTTTTATCCTGTTATCGAACACGCTTAAATTAAATGGTTTGTTGTGGAATTTTGATCAGATTGAATGTGGTTTCTTAAAGCAAACCGAAATGTCGATTTAAAATATGGATAGCAAATATTTCTACCTGTACATAAAATCACTATATAGGGGCCAAAAGTAGAGCAAAAATAGCGGAACACTCTCAAATTATTTCAAATACTGCTCTGCAAATCAAATTAAGTATGTAATAATTTCTTAACCACCATGTTCTTTATTTTTCGTTTTTCAAAGTTTCCTTTTATTTGGATTTTAAATAAAATAATTAAGACCGTTGTTCGTGCAATAAAAAGATATCAAGTAAGGCAACTTGTTTTCTATTCAATTCTGGGCAGATGTCATAAAACTTGGCGTGGGTGTCCAAATATGGAAATAACTTTGGCAAATACCGGAAGTTGTTGCAAGCAATTTATTGAACAGAATCTTTTGTGTTTCAGTAATACCCGCAAAAGTAGTTTGCATGCTAACTTCGTTAAGGAAGTCATTACACAATGCGGTTTTTTTCGAGCAAACAAACTGGAAAGAAACTGAGCCAAGACCTAGTATAGTTCACTGTGGAATAGGAAAGGTCGAAAAAACCTTCTCGTAAAGCATTAATAAATTGATTTATCGCTTAGAAACCGTTTCTTGAAGGCAGCGGAATCTTCATTTTTTCCGGTGCTTTTAGACTGGTACAAAGAGAGTTAAAAAAATATATTGTAAAAACCAGGCAGCACCATGGTCTTATCTTTGGAATGATTTATAACGGATTAGACAGCTGCAGTGTTATAGGTACCAGATTAATGGCACTGATACTGAGCTATGGTCACAAATAGAACCTATTTTATCGAAAGCTGAAGCATCTCATTTCATGGCCAAAAACAGTCTTGCCAAATTTCATCCCTAGGCCCCTTATTCCGCTAACAATAGCAGTCTTGCGCTACTTCAGGGCTTTCGAAAACTGATTAAAATTTGACCTTTCTCGAGTGGAACAAGGAGGCGTACAGGCAGGGAAGATTCCAGAGCAATATCATGAGTGGATGTTTTTGCTTCTGAATCCTCTTTTGTATTGGTAACCAGTAACTTTTCCCGCCTTCCAACATGTCTTAGTGCCAAGCCCTTTTTCGCCTTTGACTTCCGGTTCCAGTCTTAGGCGACACGGGACGGTGCGGTATCTTTCACGTAAAGGTTTTTTCAAGTATATTTGGTAATTTACTTTGCCTTCCTCGCATCTGTCAACCACCAGCTATTTACTCTTTGGCCTAGATTTACTCTAATGAAAGCGAAACAGCTCGTATGTTTGGTTCCAAAAACAGTGCTATAAACTCTCACCGATCACGCAACCAGTTTTAGCGCTGACCTTCGATAGTGGACTTTGCATTTGAAGGACTTTGAACCATTTCTTGTGCCATGATGAACGTACTCTCCTGCTGCTAACATCTAAAAAGTTTTTATTGTTCCTTGTTTTCATTGAGTGTTCCCGGTTGACGCGTGGTTTCAGTCCGAAACAGTTTCCTTGAGGGCTTATTTTGAAATGGCACCCTTCCTTGACGGCATATTCTATTTTTAAACGGAAACCGGCGGGGACATTTAAGTGTTTCTGATCTGTTGCGGAAGTCTTAAAAACAGGAACAATTAGTGAACAGTTAACAATTTGAGTTGGAAAGGGGGAGTTTAAATTGTATTACAATAGTGGTGAAGAATTCCGCAGTCTTTTCTGCTAGTCTATAAATCCTGAAAGAAGCGTAAAATTAGAACGTTACGTACATCACAAAAGAGTCAAGCGCTTCTCGAAGTTGGTGACCGTTATGTGGGATCTGAACATACGTGTAGGATGACCAGAGGAAGAATTATGGCTCAGAAATTGGCCCCAAAAAAATCACCCTCTGTGTAAAATTATTTCAATTACTGCACCAAAATTTGATTGAAACACTGGTTAAAAAGAAAAACAGGAAAACAAAATCAAAATAGCGTGCAACCATGTTAGCCAAGTATATAGAAACCGAAACAAGTATTGTCAGACAGGATCTAGAAGTTAACAATTTTAGTCAATTTAGCAATATCAAGACAAAATTTTGCAGAGAAGTCTTTCAGTTCGTTGTCAAGCCTCATTCATAAATTAGCTAAATATTCTAACACTGAGATATTAGATATGTACTTTTGCGTGTTAATTTAAAAACCACCGCGGTATAAAGGTTAATGACTACAAAAGTATTAATATTATATCTAGTTATCTTGCTCACACACGGAGTGCTTCTAGGGGCGGGCGCAAAATATCAGTTTAATATGTAGTTGATTCCTCAAGAGGTGTGTAGTACAAGATTTTTTTTCCCGATAATCTAAGGCACAACAGAAAAAATAAGTTTATCTTCTTTTTAGTTGCAATTTATTTTTGTCCTGGCCTTCGGCCTATAGCCATGATAGCTCGTGTCATCAATAGTCTTCGTTAATATAGCAGCCATAGGAAAAATCGCATTTCATCAGATAACATCGAGAACTATGTTGATCCGAGATCATCAGAGGTTTTTGGACCAAGATAGCTCAGTACGAAACACTTTTTGAAGTGTGTGATATATCATTGCATTGATGCCTCGACGGATCAAGCTTATTCTTTTGGACAAACTTGAGGCAGAAGTTGCAAATTTAATAAGGTTGTATATCCAAGTTCGAAAGGTCGTTTTTACTTCAGTAATTGTTCATGAGTTTGATTAAGAGATCATTGCCAAATGAGGTGACATCATCCCAAGACGACTTAAAATAGATCAGTTGTGAAGTTGAACCCGAAAGGAGAATAAAACCATATTTGAATTTTTTTACGGAGTAATAATGGCTAATTTATTCCTAGTGAGCTAAACAGACAAGCTGGTATAAAAGTTTATCACCTGACAGCTCTTAGTGAATATATTGGCTCATCAAAATGATAAAAGAAAACACTAACCATCTAAGGCTAAATTTAACCACCACTCATTCACGAACTGATATTAATGTTCTCTCTGGTTACGTGACTGGGAAAAGGGCAAAGGCCCAAGCTGCTGAAGCGAAAAACGGAGGTCCCATGGCGCGCTTATCTATGGTTCAATCTGGGCCAATACAGCAACAAAAACATTGACAAAAATTATGAGGTTTCTCTATCTTTAGCCTCTATTATAATTCCGGCACGTTCGAATTTGATCCATACTTTTGACTTCACTTTTCAACGTTATGTTACTATTATTTACTGGCCCCACTTAGCCTTTTGTAAAAAACGGCATCGGTGAAACTGACGAAAACCATTACAACCTTATACCGGTCTGGAACACTGCTCTGTACTAGGAACAGGCTCACGTGACTAAAAGTCTAGCTAAGTCTTGAACGTTCTACCGCGCGTGGGAGCATGTAGCGTACATGCAGTATGCGATATGAAGTACTTGGTAGGCGGTAAAAGTTTCCATCTGCATGCACCGCAACACGAAACATTTTCTGTGGTTTGCAGGGTCGAAAAGAGAGACCCAAAACACATTTTCTCAATCACTGACTTATACAGAATTTCCCATATCAGTTTTTTGCAGGGTCGAAAAAAGAGACCCAAAACGCATTTTCTTAATCATTGACTTATATACTGAATTTCCCATATTAGTTCATTAAGATTGAAACCTTTGCGTGCTCCG